AAAGACTGCTTTCTAAAGCAGGAAATTCTCACTTTAAAAAGAAATATAATCTAAGTGCACAACCTACTCTTGATACGATCACTAGCATTTCATTTCTTTATTACTGGATACCTTAGCTATTCACTGGGCTCAGGGTATTGTCTGCCATTTGAGAGGCACATTGTACTGTTTGATACCATCAGACCTGCCATTTCACATGGTATCAGACTCCTGCAATGGATATTAAATTGGTCTCACAATGCTAGTGTGCTAAGCACTTAATTTTGTAGTGGCCATGGGGCACAGCAATCCCTTGTCTACAGCAGAGAATTCTTGTGGTACCTGCAGAGCTCAGGGGAGTAGATACAACCACCTTTGACATTGCTCAACTTGGTAAATCTACATGTTATATTATAAAACTCAGGAAGTTTGCAGTCCTTTATTTGTCTTCGTACTTCACTTAATTTGTGCAAGCTTTGTAGTCAGACACCTGAGTGCAGGAGAGTTAAGGGACATGAATGATTTCTGTCCTGGGACAAAATAGGGTTTCCCAGCAGTTACTGACACCCAACAGGGAGCCCTGTGAGGTTCCTAGGGCCAAGGCATGTTGCTTTCACTCCAAGCACTGCTTTGGCTGCTTCTCTCACAGTACAAATGTGCAGTTTGGCTTGCAAGACAGTTCAGCTGGGGGAGATATTATCAAGCCAGGCAGTGAACCAGCTAGGAACAAGAATAAATTATGCTAATATATATGTCATCTTCTCAGCAACAGAACCAATGTCAAGCATAAACTCTGCAAATCTTAAAAATGTAAGCAAACCACAATTTGATCGTAGCTCCTGTTTGCAGGAGGCCTTCCAGCTAACAATAGAAAATATAAAACATCACTTTAACCAAATATGAAAATCAAGTAAACAAAAGCCAAAAGAACACAAGTCAGACATGGCTGCAGACCTTAAGCTCAGTGTTATGTTCAGAGCTTTCTGAAAGCAAATGCTAACTACAAATTTCAAGACAGCAGTATGCAAAAGCAGGCTGAGCCAATATCACATACATGGGAAAACACAGAGAACTGATGAGACTCAGTGTCAGAAGTGTGATAAACACATGCAAGGGCCTGACAGGGCTCACCCTACCTCTGAAAGAGCAGACATAGCCTGTCACTCCCCTAGACCTAACCTGAACCCTAGTGTGGGCTGAATCTTACCCCGTGCGTGGTTCCCATGAAAATGTTTTCAAGGATGAGTTCAGGTGGATGGCTGCTCTTCATTCCTGCAGTGCCTTTGCAGTCCCACTCCTACTACAGCTCCTAGATTTCTCACTCTCCTGAAACTAACCTAAATGCTAGCTGTTGGCTGAGCTCTGGACAAAGAGCACTCATGGTTAACCTTACCTGTTCTCATATGGGAAATGCCAAAAGAAACAAACCAAAATAACCTTCCAGCCTTGCAGAGCGAGCTTGTGGTCAGTTTTCTCCTGTTTGAATATTTTCCTTCTCAGTTGTCAAAACATTTTGAGCAAACACATTGCAATACACACAGAAAAAGTGTAGATCCAGCTGTGACTTGTGTTGTGTAAGATTTATGTGCTTTGCTGTTAATCAGAAAGTTATCTTCTTGGTTCAGGGACACCAGGCTGTGGAGTAGAGTGACATTAAGTCTAAGGCGGGTCCAAGAAGACCAAATCCTGAAGAATTAAAGAGAAGAGCAGCAAGTATTCACAAGGAGAGAGAGAAGGAGTTGTGAGATTGACATTGTAGACCTCAAAACTGGTGATATTTCCAAAGATGGAAGATTCAGATTCAATGTTTATTTAAGTATCTATACTAACTGAAAATAGCTTTATAAAGATAAATACTCTCAATCAACATTATTCAAAAAGCTTGTGGCCTTCTGGTATACAGACATGTAAATCATCCAATTTCCAGCTAAACAGCATAGAGATTTGGAAATAGATTTTTCATCTGCCCAGTGACTACAAAGAGAAGAACAAACTGACATATTTGTTTAACACTCAGATTTAAGACCGTCATATACCTCATTTTTTCATAGACATATACAGTCTAGAGAAAGCTAGAGATGGAGGAGAAAATAGCTCTGTAAAGCAGAACAGCTTAAACTTACTAAGCTGTTTGAACAGCAGAAATTGAAATGTGTACTGGGAGGATATGAAAGGCAGTGATACCTGTTTTCAGAGCAGTCAGTTTTGGAATTAAACTTCTTTCTCTGCTCATGAACTACAATTGTAAAAGTGGCTGAGAAGCATGGGAAGTTCTACTTCAGGGAAGTTCTACTGTGTTTACCAATCCATCATGTACAAAAGGGAAGGGAAAAGCTGCACAGCATTAGCATAATAGAAATCTTCAGGAAAACTAAATGCTAAACCAGATATCCAGGTCTAAATTTAACTTATGGAATTGTTGCTGTGAGCACATCACCATGAACATGTTCTGTATGTATCACTTTTTCAGTTCATTATGGTCCCACAGTTGCAGACCCCCTTAATTTTATTGATAAATCCTCTCTAATACTAGCCAAATGTTTATTATTTATCCTTATATTCATTCCTTCATTCAAGCTGTGCCTTGCTATATGTTTCACAACAACTCTAGAGAACTTTTCAATTAATTTGGCATTTCCTATTACTTAATTGCTTATACCCTTCCTTTTTTAATTTAATGATGTTCCAATGCATCCTCTCTCTGCAAGAGGAATGTCCTCACTCAGTGCATCACCAACAGCAATGTTTTTATGAATATTTTCTGCGGGCTGGGATCCGTGAAAGATTTCCAAACCAGAGGAGTTACATAGCCCCAAAGAGCAGCCCAGTGAGTTAACACCTGCAACAAAAGTGCAACTAACCCTTTATGGCAAGAGTGCTCCATCTAGTCCTTATGCTCACCACTGACTGGATGTGCCCATGTAGCCTTGTAACAGGCCAGCTGACAAATGTTCACAGGAGACACTGAATCCATTCACTTTTGTGAAGTAATCTTAGTAAAATTACTGCTTACTTATAACAATAACACATAGCATCTATACTTATTACAATGGGAATGATAGGTGATCAGAGCTGCCCATGGCTGGGGACATGGAATTGAATGATCTTTAAAGTCCCTTACAACTCAAGACATTCTATGATTCTATGATTTTGTTGGTTTTGTTGGCCTTAATCCAACTGGAATTTTCATTTATTAGCGCAAGAAATGTAAATTCAGGAATTTAAGATAATGTGGGTTGGAAGGTCTGCAAGCCAGCCTCTTGCTCAAAGCTGGGTCAGCTACAAAATCAAATTATGCTACTCTGAGCTTTTCCAGCTGGGTCTTTGAAACTTCTGAGGATTATAAGGCTGAAATGTAATAATTTAGTGGCTGGAGATACTTGCAGATTCTGTGTTTTGACCTGAAACAGCCTCTAATGTTAAAAGCATTATTTCTCATTTCAGATTAAATAGATGTAAAAAATGCGCTCTTTCAGAATAACAGCAAAATCCAGCATTGGTGACATTTGCAATGTTTTGAAGGTCACCTTATTTGAAAAATTTCTAAAATATTGTTGGCAGCAAGTCAGAGGTCAAACATGGACTAACTCAAACATCATCACCAAATCTGAACTAAATCAAAGCTTTATAATGAGATGAGCCCTTTCCCTTACACAAAGGTCCTGAGATCCAGACACTACTTCTTTCTGAACTGGTTCATATTTTTCCTCTCCTTCCAGTTCTCTCCACAGCCCAGCCATGCTGTTCTTCTCCATTTCAGTTATAACTACTTTACACAGAGATAATATATTTTGTCAGAGTCATCACAGTTATTGACTGGGTTGTATAAAGAGCATTGAATAATAACTCATCATGTTTTTAAAACTAAAAAGTATAGGATTCTTTTTTTAGCAAATTGTAACTCTGGAGAATTTAAAATAAGAATATTCAAGATTTCCACTTGGCAAAAATATATTATGCAAGGTTCTTTGCATAAAAGTTATATATTAAAAATGTCTTATGCATTGCACTTGATTAGGTTTCTGCTCTTTCCACACCTTTCTTTAGCTGGAATTGAGTGGCTATGTCCCACACAGGGAGAAAAATTAGTAGCCTCTTCTCACCTTAGTTTCACTGTTATTGAAATAACTACTTTACCAGAACAACTTTTTTCCCCCCATCTTTCCTAACACAGTTGATGTAGATACCTTTAATGGTAACTTCAGAGCCATAGTTTCTTTCCATGGTGTGCTTCAAGCTTACACAACAAATAATATGCAAAAATTGCACTTTTGAGAGGTAGCTCCTCTGTATATTTTCTTTACTGCCTTAATTTTCTGGCAAACTATGGAGCTGATTTGTGTTAAAAAGAATTTTTTTCTTTTACAAGGATATTTTTGTCCCAGGCAAGTTCCTGAATCTGGTTCAACATGAAGCTTCACAAACTGCAAAGGCAGCCATAAAGGTAAAAGGGACAGTGGAGAGTAAATGAAAAGCAGGAAACCTTCAAGTTAACACTGCCACAGAAAGTGTCCCCTGATCTACAACCCCAAATGTAGTAAAGCCCATTAGAGATTCATTATACAAAGATTGGAAATTAAAAATTAATGTTGTGGGAACTGTAAAAGCAGAACATTTTAGGAATGTTTCCCACATTTCCTCTACCTCTCCAAAATAAGTAATGCCTCCACAGAAAGAATTAAAAGGATGTTCAGAGAATGTTGCAGAGATGCTACAAGAGTGATATAATTTTACCTTCCAATATTCATCCAGGTAAGGATACAAACCCAACCCATTCTGAAGCCAGAGAGGGGTATGAGCAGTTCCATTGGGCTTGGATTAGGTGGAAACAAGAGTCTCTGTGAACTGGGAATAGTTGGAAAAGGAGATTTTTTTTTTCAGGAAAGGTTGCAAGAAGACCAGGCTGAAATAGAGGCTTTCAAAATAAACCTTATAGAGAAGATATAGAATTTATAAAAAGGGTGGGTTTCCTGTATTTTTGTTGATACTAAATTCTGAATGTAAGAGTCCACCACTGATGGTCGATCTTCCAGCACACCTTTGGCTTCTTGATAGCAGAGCCTCTGCTCATGCCATCCCATCACACATGGGATGCCAGACCTGTCAGTATGGCTGGAGGAGAAATTATGCATTCAGATTGTTTTGTTATAATCTATCACTAAACAAAAACCTCCTTTTCCTCACAAATAGACATTGTCCAGGAACCAAATCCTCCAAAGCTGTTAAAATTAAACTTCTCTCTCCTTGGCCAGCAAACACCTGTCTGATGGTCACAAACGAGGCAGTTTAGGGGACATCACTCCAGCCTCCTAACAGCTGGCTGAGTCTGTCAGGTTTACACTCCAAGCTCCTCAGGGCAGCAGTGGTATTTGCATGGAGTCAGCAGGACTTTCAGGCTGCCTTGCACAGACCACTGCAGAAGAACTCTCTTACCTACAGCAGCTTTTGAACTCCTGCTGTTTCCCATTTCAGGGGCAGCAGATCTCTCAGGTAAATCCCTTTTTCCTCTCATGGCTCCGGCAGCTCCTGTGTTACATTGACTCTAGCTTTTATATTATATTAAAAGCAAGGCTGCCTGGCAAATAAGCACCACCAGGGACACTTGGCTGCCCAAGCTGGGCTCAGAGACGTTCAGAAGGACAAACTCCCATAAAAAATACAAAGCGTCAAAGCAGGCTGGGCTCTGCAGAGAAACAGACTCAGAGGAGAGGCTGGGGCAGCCCTTGCTATTTCTTTCTGCAGCTAATACATCTTCTAAAATATCACCATGTCAGAAGTCAGCCAATGCCTCTCAGTCTGCAGCCATTCATTCAAACCCATATTTTTGCTCCCAGCTTTTCCTCTACTCTGTGCCACTGACCCCCAGCTGTACATGGAGCTGTATGGGTGTGTGGCAAGCCAGCTGTATGTCTCTGAAAACACTTTTGGCTACTGACAGCACTCAAAGCAAACCAGGTAATTGTAAAATTCTGCTAGGGATGCTACAGTCTGGGTGTCATACCTATCCTTCATACGGCCTTGCTAAGAAATCCCTGAAATAAATGGAAAATAAGGCTGCTTTCTAGGCAACTTTCATCATGGATGATCATCCATCAGAGAAATTCCTCATTTGGGAAGACTAGTGAGGCCTTGAGCCACTCTGTCCTTGCAAATTAGACTGTGTAGGAAAACATCAGGACTGTGTACCTATGCTTTTTAATATTCTCTTGTTCCAGCAAACGACATTATAGCAGTTAACATCATAACAGCATTTATCTGTTTTAGGCTCCACCTCTTCTCTCTGAGGACTAAATTAGCAAGGTTGATATTATGACAATCTCAGAATATACTAATTACAAATTTCGCACCTTGCTTCTGCAAAACATGTAATCAGCAAAGTCAAAACAGCCGTAAAATATGTTACAAAGTCTCTCTCTTACTCCCACAGAGTAAATTATTCCAGGTGACATTGAAATAACCTGAACTCATTACACATTTCAGAACTCATCCTTGTATAAGACATGACTAAGACCATCGTGAGACAGTGAGTTATTCACTGTATGAAAATGTTTAACATGATACAAGGAAAGATTAACACCAGCAGCAATACTAATAGCCATGAGTTCAGCAGCTGTAGGGCTTCATCCAGACCCAAAAGAGATGGTGAAAAACATTCACCTGAAGGGGCATATCTCATCTGAGTAAAGCTGTGCCAGAGCTTGCATTAACCCAGCAGCTGCATTAACTGAGCTCTGACCTTTTTTTTCCCTTATCCTTCCATTCTTAGCTTGTACCTCTTGATACTTAGAGGACTTTTTGTTCCAATTCAACATATTCCCTTTCTTTCAAGAGTTTCCATAGCCCTAGCACATATTGCTGTAGCAAGGAGATTTTCCCTCCACATTCTAGGATTAACCACTCTGCTGCACTCCAGGTGTTCTCCTTGGCTTGCTGATTAACTCATGCCTGTCTTCTGGCATGCTCCCTCCAGTGCTGGTTGTGTGGGTCAGTCCTTGAACAGCAGGGCATCCCAGGAGTTTGGTGGGAGACACCAAGGTGCCCTGGTGACTGCCCAGCCCTCAGAGTTTCAGGCTATGGCACTCATGACCACCACCTTTTTGGAGTCCTCCTCCACCTGCCTGTAGTGACAACCCAGCAGTTGATCAATCCCTTCTTCCCGGTCCCTCTGCAAGGGTTCCTCGTTTGCAGCATTGGCAGGATCTTGTTCACACCCAAGGAGCACCCATGAGCCAACCCCAAAGCCCTCCTGCCTTGCTGAGGGCAGTGTCTGCAAGAGGCACAGGGCTGGTTGCCACCAGCCCTTCCAGGCCATGACTGCCTCCCACACAGGGCACCTGAAACACCCTCCATCAAAACCTTGTCATTTGTTCCAATGCTATTTAAAAAAATACTCCAGACCACGAGATAATGACTGACAGTGGGTTTATAGACGGCCAAGGAGGAGGTAACTCGCAACAGGATAGGAACTCCATCAGGTTCAAATTTAGCCCCCACAGGAGTCCCTCAGAACCAGTAATGATAGATTAGTTCAGCTGGGCAGTATTTCAATCAAGACTGCCACATGAAATCTTGTTGAAAGTCCCTGCTGAGATATTTGGCTCGTCTTGCATTGCACAGAAAATATTTGTAGAGAATGTGTGAAAGGATCCCATTTATTTTCACCAAAATATGACAAGAAAACAGCAAATCACTGCCTTCTGTAAGCTGTGGCTTTGTCAATCATAATTTATTCAGCAGTCACATACTTTAAATGAGTCTCCTGTGCTTGATGCTATATAGAATAGCATCAAGCACATAATTTTAACCCTAAACATTAGGGTTTGTAAATTGATAAATAGCACATTTTACCTTGTTCACTCCCCTATTTCTAGCAAGATATTATGGAAGGACTTGAGCTAAGGACCAAGGAGGCACATTGCCAGAAGCCCCATGTCATGGACTTGGTGACATCCTAACTAGACCCTGCACACTGTTCCTAGACCACAGTAATATGATATAACTAACTTATTTTAAAGTATTCTAGGTCTTTTCCTTCTAAAACCAAAATCTGAAAGAGATTAATTGCAGAGAAAATACAGATAAATCAATATGCAGTTTGGGAGCTGCTATTTGCTGGAAATTAATGTAATGAAGGAAAATCCCAGAAAAAGCCAACATGACCTTTATGACCACTCCCTGAATTACTAATGCTCATCTTATTAAATATATGCATACATCCAACCTCAAAGTGTAAAACAATGCACTTAAATTTTTTTCCTGCTGGTTTACAGCCTATTACCAGCAGAAGAAACAGTTTCTTTTAATTGCATCAGGCAACAGAACTTCTCTATTCACAGATGACCTCTTGTTGCCCATCCATTAGTGTTTCACTTCCTATGCGTTTCTACAGTGAAAAGTGCCAGCACAGAAAGAAAGGGAGACTTGAAACTGCTGTTTGCAATCCGTTAGTGACAGCTCTCACATCCACACAAGCTGGCCTTTGAGATGTTTAAGTGCTACAGTGTTTTATTAACACAAAATACACAAAATATGACCATCATTTTTCATCAGTTCTGCAACCAATAACCGAATTTCTGTATGCATATTAAGCACTGATACCAGCCAACAATTCCAGCAATCAGAAAACGAGTGAGAACCCTCACTCTTTCAGGAATTGCAAGTGCATCCCTTTTCACTGCCAAGTTACCAGTTGAATAGGACAAATGTCTTAATTAAAAATACATTTGAAAAGCTTCCAATCAAATGATAATATAAACAGTGGTTATTATAAACACCTAAAAAAAGACAAACAGTGTTTCTGTCACTCAGTCCAGAGAATTATATGTACAGATCTGGGAAGCCAATCTTGCATTTGAATAATATCACAGCATTCATTGTCCAAGAACACAACAAGAAAACACAGTTAGCATTTTATCAGTAGTGAGTGATGCTGCACACTCAGCTTTTGTTTGGTTCTAGTAAAATTTCAGTACACATCTGACATTTCTGCCTGTCAATAGCTCCCTGTACCATCCCAGGCTGTTCTGATCTGTAGAATGCTTACAGTATTCTGGTTTTCAGACTGTGCTCTTGCACCAAGCTGGCTGACTGCAGACAGGTCCTGGTTTGTAGGATGGCCCCTGTCTCAACCAGATTGCCAGCCCCACCACTGCACACCTCTTAAAAGTGAGCTCCCTCAGGAAGGTTGTACCATTTATGTCCACTGAGGCTTGGCGCAGAAAGAGACTGCAACACTGAGACAGAAATACACAGAAACTTCAGTGAAAAGCTGAGAAAGGCTCACTGCTGGCAAACACTGATCCATCAGCGTTCTCAATGCAAACTAGAGCTGCAAACTAAGTGTCTCTTTATTGTACAGTCATAACATTTGAGAAAATATGTGGTGTTCTTTGGGGAGGAAGCACCACTGAATTCCACTCAGTTCTTGTTCTACAGGGGATGGTGTAAAATGTTGCAGGATGTGACACAGAACTAGCAGCATTACCATAAGCAACCTGAGACACAAGGTACTCCTGTCCTTTAGGAGTCCATGGCTAATGAAATAAAAAGATAAGAAGACAAACTAATGATGAATATCCTCAAAGAGTTAACAAAGACTTGCTTCAGCTCAGTTCTAGTGAATAAAGTCTTCTAAATAGTCTCTTCAGTTAACCCATTCATAACAATACCTGTTGTTGCTACATCCCCTTTGCTTCACTTGCCTAAAATTGGTCCAGGCAGTCTGTAGCAATGCAGTCTGTAAAACATTCTACAGACACACCCAATGTCTATGAGAAGCAGCCCAGGGAACTGCAAGCCTGTTCAAAAGCTATGCTTTGAGGACACTAGGAAAAGCAAAAGACAGCTTTTCTTATCGTGTCTTTTGCAGCAATGAGCTAGATCTAGAAATCTCATGTCATCTATTTTTCTCTTCACAGAAATGGTTTCCATCACAGCTGAAAATGTTACGCAGCTGTACAACATGACCACCCAGGAATTTACAGTCAGTCCAGAATATTCCCACAATAATTCAGGAGTGCATCAGATAGATCAATATGAATGTGTTAGTACAGATGTGTGGAAATGGCTACAGGATTTTCAGCCTGGATTTCTCTGGTTTATATTTATTCTGGGATCAATAGAAAATTCCTTTGTACTCACCGTCCTGTGTTTCCACAAGAGTAGCTGCACAGTGGCTGAAATTTACCTAGCAAACATGGCATTTGCGGACCTAATGTTAGTCTGTACTTTACCTTTCTGGGCCATTAATATTTCTAATAATTTTCATTGGCCTTTTGGTCAGTTTCTCTGTAAAGCCGTCAACATTATGAGCTACATGAACTTATATTCTAGCATTTATTTCCTGACACTAGTGAGCATTGATCGCTACCTGGCCTTGGTGAAAACCATGTCCCTTGGACGGATGAGACGAACCGTCTGTGCCAAATGGAATTGTTTTGTAATCTGGACATGTGCACTGCTCATGTGTTCACCTACAATGGTGTTTCGAAATTTGCATTATTTTAAAGAGTACAACATCACAGCCTGTGCTCTTCTTTACCCAGCTAGCTACTGGGAGCCCACAAACAACTGCTTGCTGAATATTGTGGGGTTTGTGATCCCATTCTGTGTAATTACTTATTGCACTGTGCAAATCATCAAAGCCTTACGAAGCAGTGAGCTACGAAAAATGAAGGTAGTCCAGACAGAGAGGAGAGCCACCATGCTGGTCTTTGCTGTGCTCCTGCTGTTCATCATTTGCTGGCTTCCATTCCAGATCAGCACAGCCATCGACACAATCCGTTACTTCTCACCCACTCTCAGATGCCTGGAGGACATCAATGACATACTGACCCAGATAGCCACATACTGCTCCTTTAGCAACAGCTGCCTGAACCCAGTCTTGTATGTGATTGTTGGGAAAAACTTCCAGAAGAAAGCTGTGGAATTCTACAAGGACTTGTTCACAAAGAGGTGCAGAAAATCACAGTCTGTGCAGATGGAAAACTCCTTGGACACTTTAAGAACTTCTATTTCAAGCGAATACTCAAGGAAAAAGTCTGTTTTGTCATTACCCCGATAGCATAATTTTAGGAAATCCTTAAAGGAAGAAAGCCGTCTAATGTGTCAGTCTCCACCCATATCCATCTCTTATAGGTCCACAAAGTAAACATGTGGTAATCTTCATTATGTGAGGGAAAAGAGTTGTTTGATCTTAGTGGAAATTCCATAAAGACACCTGCTTCTAGTGTTATTGGATGTTTTTCGTGATTGAATCTTATTTTGTAGCTTACTTACATTTTCATGGCTGAATGATACTTGGCACAAGTATCACTTGGAATGTTTTCTAAGGTGTACATACAATTCTCCAAACAGAGTCCCAGTACAGAAGCAATTGTCAGGATTTTGCAGCTGCGTATGGTACCTGTAATAGTGTGTTAAGGTTTTTGATCTGGGAGGGGCTTGCATTTGAGTAAGTTCTGTTAAGTGAATCCAGTAGGATGCATTTTTAGATGTGTCCATCTTTTGGGCTTTTAACTTCTCTCTTCAGTCATCTAAAGCTATCTGATTTTTTTCATTGACAAGCAGTGCCTTTTTGCAGCTGCTCCAGTTAGTTACAGATTTACATGACAAAATAGGTATGAAAAGTAGCTGAAAAAGGTAAAGCAGTAGTGGAAGGGAACCTGCACCCACCTGCATGAAGTTAGCAGAGTTTTCTTCGTAGAAGAAGATTCTTTAAACATTTACTTACTCCTTTTGAGTGGGCAAATGCTATTTGTATTCATGCTTACACTTCAGCCCAGAGACTCAGGTTTTTAGTATTCACAAAGCATAATTAATGCTATTCAATGGATATATTAAATCTCAGCACAACTGGCATAATTTCACAAACAGAAAAAACTGAGAATATGAAGGAGAGCATCACCTAACTACATTAGAAATCTAACTGAAGATAAGAGAGGTCTTGAAAGCCCAGAGTATTCAAGAAGAGCCTTTTCAGATTCTAGTAATACCTACATTTTGTTTGTAGAGTTAATCTGTGAGATTTTAATGTAAAATAGCTTTTCCCCAGTTGGACTGTATTTTTAAGCTAAGTTGATTATACACATAAAGAGACTCACAGTGTACTGAATTGTCTGTATGCACTTTAACCTCTAGGAACCTTGACCAAAACTGAGTGGAAGGTGATGTAAGATATGCTGAAACATCTTTATTCCTTTCAAAGCACTTAAGGTTACAGCTTCTAAAGCTACCAAGGGAAATGGAGTTTGGTGACGTGAGTAAGCTTAGATGGCAACTACACGGTCTTTATCCATCAGAGCTTGAATGGAGCAATAAAGTTCATTTAAGATGGGAAATTTGTATTAAACCTTCAAATAACTAAGCCACAAAATATAAGTGTTCAGATGTGATTTAAAGACTAAGGGATTTAGATCACTGTATATGATTTATAGGCAATTTCCATGGTTTTTCTTTGATAAGCCAGTGTAATCCTGTGTCATAAATACATCTATTGCTCATCCTTTTTACTGTCTGAAGCAATGGGGACAACTATGATGAAACATTGCAAGGTTTTCTGTTATATCCAGTCTTATCATACTGTCTCATCCATGAGCATGCTGTTCATGCAAACCTTACACAAAAGGAACTCCATACAGATGTTATCGAGGCAACAGAAGTTATTTTTGAGTATTTGGTACTGAGAAGTAAGATATAAAAATGTTATTATGTTAATATCACATTAATTTAAATAATGTAAATATATAGGCACAATTTATTATTTTTTTTTTGCTATGCAGTAAGCATGTACAAAAGAAAATAAAGTACTTTGAGAAATGAGATTTCCTGGCATTTTCTTCTCTAGCCTGTATCCTGTTCCTAAGGAATGATTTGTCAGAAGTTCAACTGCTCCAGATGCTTACTTGGCTTCCTGGTACACCAAAGGAAAGTGAGCTGAAACAACAGAATTTTAGTTGCTTTGAAATATTTCTTTTCAGGGCCCATTTCTGAGTGCTGTTGACCACCCTCAGTCCCTTTGCAAGTTTAAATCAGAATTAAGGCAGTTAAGGGTAGTGAAATATTTGTGGTAGCTTTTCTCTGCCTGCTGATAACTTAAGGTCCTATGCAGACACCAGCAACAATGGAAAGCCCCTGCAGCAGCTTCTGCACATCACAGAACAGACAGTGGCAGCTCACAAACTGTTTCATTCCCATTTTCCTGACTCTTCAGTGTGATGACACTTTTGTGGTATTCACATGCACCATTTACACATGCAAGAAAAAACCCCAATAAATAAAGTGTAACCTCCAAGCTACATCTGACCTACTGATAGTTTCCAGTCACACTTGGCTCAGTTCTGTTCTTACAGACATGACAAAATATGAGAAGGATTTTTGGTAATATAAGGTCAGACTCTGTCCAGAGAATTTCAGAGCTGAAGATGGCAAACAGTAATCATATCTTTTTACTCTTCTTTATTCTGTCCCCCTCTTACCTCTGCTCCCATCTTCTCTTTTACTGAGCCTGCCACAACTGATACCAAGACTCTGGGCATGCAAAGATCTGACTCCCCATTCAGTCTGACAGAGGTGGGGACCATGGCCAGAGGAATGGCAAGGATATCAACAGCCAGATTCTATTTCTGGCCTTCAGCATTTACAGGGAGGAATTATATCTCCACTCTCTCATTTTTCATGTGGATTATTGTCTTCACTTGAAAAATTAAGAGTTTAAGAGCTGTTACAGAAGCTGCAGGCGCTCACTGCAGACAGGAGAATGTTGCTCTTTTTTAGACAGGGTTTCAGTGGAGGAGTTAGGATCTTGGTTCCGTTCTCCCAAATCCCTAAGCAGTCTTTAGCCATTGAATCATCTTTCCATTCCATTCAACCTGTATCAGCTCCTTCATATTTTACTGTTTCAAGCTCTGCAAACTGTAGTTAGTAGGGCTTGATTATTACCAGACTGTGATGGTACCAGCATCATTCTTTGGGAATTGTAAATTTCTGAGCCAGAGTTTAAGCTCTCCTTAGCAATCTCTAGAGTATATATGAAGAAATCCAACAAAGCTGAACACAGAGTTTTACCTCTAAAGGTCGTATCAAAAACCTTTTCTGGTGTTACAGAACAGATGAACAGTTATAGCAGATAATTAGGCTGATTTGCCAAACATTTCAATAAAGAAAAAGAAATCATTAAAACATACTGATCTAAAAAGATATTTTGTCCCAATCATTAAAGGCTCCAGCCATCTTAAAAGGAAGATTTTTAATGGCTGATCTGTTGGACCAAGAGCCAGAACTCTCGACACGTTTAGGATTTTCGACATTTGTCTACCTTGTAATGTGTGCGATAATTAAGCAAAGAGTCTTACCTCTAAATTCAACATGTTTGTTTAATCATTCTATTTAGAGAGTAGAGAGGATCAGTGAATTCTTACACAGCTCTAAAATGTTTACTTTCTACAGGAAAGTCTGCCTAGATGGTGTGACTGAAGATCATTCTAGCCTAAAACATTAACCAACAAGCTGTGAGCATCCTGAACTGAAGGTGCCAATGGACAGATATGCTTTTTACAGTAAAAAAACCTTAACTATTGACTCTTATTTTTAAACTAACCCTTCAAATTCCTTCAATTCATTTTCCACTACACCTGTGCAAACTGTGAAATGTTACCAGATCTTTATATACTTTCTATAGGTTGAAATGAGGAATTAAGTTGTAAAGACACAATAAATTAAATCCCCTTTCTATATAAAGTTACAGCTTCTGTAGACTTGTTCTAAGATCTTTAAATGCTGGAGCTACTGCAGTGCCTATTCACTCTTTCTACTAAATGCATAGACTTCCAATTTTGAATCTCTCTCCATTACTGGAAAGTGTTCCAAATATAGCAATGAAAAAACCCCAGAAAATAAGAAACTAGATTTGCAAAGAGGAGTTGGATTTGCAAGACCAGTATTTTGATCTCATTTTGATGTGACAAGTTTTGTAAGACTTGTCATTTATAAAGATAAATAACATATAAATTTTCATATAAATTTTAGACACAGCTGCAGTTTTTTATTCAGTCTGTGAGTAAATGTGGAACTTGGCAGATCCTAGAGATTCATGTCCAAGCAAGGACAAATTCCAAACTTCTTGTTGTTGCTCAAATGTTCTTCATTATGGAAAAAATAACTTAAACACGGAAATGCAGTAGTGTAAGCAAAGTGGAGACTTTGGAAAGTCTGTGACGAAGATCTCCTGTCATATTGCACTTACCTTTATGAGTCAGTGTGAGATGGGCTGTTTCAAGATTTTCCTTCTGTTATTTGTTAGGATTCCTTACATAATGTGTAATTCACAAATTACATGTTGTTTTCAATTCTTTGCCAAAATTGAAATTTTACAAGATATTAGAAAAACAAACACACATTAAATCTTGAGCCATTTTGAGTTTTCTCCATTGTGATGGTGTTAACTGGAACATGTTTTGTTTGTCAATTTTAGCACTGTTTGCATAGCTATCTTACTATCCTTTAATGAATAAAAATTTGGAATAAAAGTATTTTTCATGATAAGGAAGTTCATAATATGGTATCACCACTCAACCTCCCCTGCCTTTTCATTTTAACTTACTTATCAAAGAAAAATGGACACAATTGAATAAGAATTGAGATATATGGTGCATGTGTTCGTTAAGTAGCCAAAAGAATATTTTCCTATAAGTAGGAAAATTCCAGTCCCTTGATAATTTCTCATTGTTTGTTGGGGTTTTTTTTAATTGAAAACCTACATTATTTATATGGCTATGCTTAAGACAGATTTGCATGTAAAGTCTGGGATGCAAAATATTACTCTAATCAGTGGACAATCAGAATAAAAAAGATAAAAATAATTTATAAACCACCACTCTCAGGCTACTTGGTCCCAGACAGTAATCAGAAATGTAAGAAACTTATTTGGGTACAAGCCTAAGAAAATACAGCAGTCATCACGAATATTACTGAAAAATAATATTCACAGAGATTCACGCCCTGGACACCTACAGTGTGTGCAAAAAGCAGTTCTTTTCAAAAAGAGTGTTAATGGGATTTAACAAGGCTCATGTTTCAGCAGCCATTCCCACCTCTCCGTGCTGCTTTACCCCAACTCCTGGGCATGGCCCCCCTCATGTCCAGCAGGGAAAGGAGCTTCCAACACAACAAAACCTAATTCTAATTTCTCCCTGTGTGCACTGGTACAGAGAAGGCAATTCAGAGCTGTTAATTAAGTTCTTATTTTTACAGACATTCACACAATGGAACTTTTAATTGTCAAGGACAATTTGAGAGCTTTAATTAGCGGTCAAAGGATGACAAGAGCCACGACACATGGCTTGTATTATTTCACAATGAGAATGAAATATCTTACATGTCTTGAAAATTACTTCAGCTGACGTTTGGGAAAGTTAAAAAAAAATCCTGGGGCTTTCTTCCAAAATGTAACATCATACACATGGTGTATGGCCAGCAAAACACTCAGGACAGCCCTCAGTCACTCAGTTGTGCCTCAGGATGCCTCTTTGAATTCTCTCAGTAACCTCTGTACTGCTGTTTGTCAACTGTTTCCGCATTTGAAACTTTGCCTGGATTGCCAGGAAGGACAAAGAGTAGGTATGCCTATCTTTTTAAATGTATTATCTTTATTAAAATCATTTCTATATTTTATCTTAAAAAATAATCTTTTATGCTCTCAGTTCTGATCTGCGCAGTCTAGTAAGACTTTCCCTTTCTTTTTCAACACAAAAGTAATTCTGAAGGTCAGTATAAGTTTATATGTAAAGCCACGATCCATTTTACCTAATTGCTCTAACTGGCTAATTAGTATTAGTAGTAAAAGGGGTGATAGATGCACTGTGCATGGAAATTCATCAGAAATCAGTTCAAAGTAAGAAAAATATGTCATTATTTGTATAAAAGATGACTGGAATGTGTTAAGGACAGAAATTGAAAACCATTCATGTGGCTAATTTTCCATTAGCACTAACTACTTCAAAATACTTACAGGAATTATGGAAAATAAAATGCATTTTCTGTCAAGAGAACATTTGGAATTCTAAATTTATAAAAGGCTTGTGGCTTGTGGTAGTGCTCAGACACTGATTAGTAGACCTGAAGAAATATTTGCAAAAAAAACCCCTACAGAATCCTCAGGTACTATTGCTAGCTGAACAAGAATTCAGATTTAGCTGTGAATAAAATCTAAGTTGCAATGAAAAATAAAACTTCCAGGTGTTTTTAGCTGAGCCCATCTTGAATGAATTTGTGGCTCCAGCTGAGGGATCGTGTCTGAAGTGTGCAGAGTGGTTGGCTTAAGCTGGTAGAAAGAAGTGTCAGGAAAAGGGCAGGCAAGGACAGTAAGAATTTCTTTTAATTCTATATTTATTAAAATAAATAATTCTGATTAGGTTGAACAGTTATCTTTCTTCTACATTATTTTTGAAATATCAAGTTACAGATTTTCTGCCACTGCTCTCTCATGCCTTAGCCAGCCTCTTGCTATAACAGCCCTAGATTTCTGCTGTCTCACAAAGAGCCTCTCTGATGCTAATCAGCCATTCATTTGCTACATGTGTTTTACCTGCAGTTTTAGATCCTCTCAAGTTATCTTTGTTTGTGTGAGAGGTCTGTGAACTAGGTAACCTTCAGACTGTTGTGAGGGAAATCCAGGGAGCTGTGCTATCTTGAGTTGTAGCTCAGTTCCCCACCAAGGCTGCCAGCTTGAGTTTATGAACTCTGGCACAACTTTACTGCTCACCTAATTCTGCAGAGATGAAAAATGTTCTGTGCATTAGTACCAGATAGCCTGATGTGGAATATTAATACTTATTCCTAGAG